AATAACCATATAATGTAAGCAAACTATGGATTTTCGCAAGCTTAAAACAAACATGGATACAAACAAACCTTAAAAGGTCCCAAATATGAATGAAGAAGGGAGTAACTGTTAAGTTTACAACAATCATCAATGGACCATTCGCCAATGAATATAGACTAATGCACATTACAGTACCAGTTGTTGAAAACTTGATTTGAAGTTTTCTGATGCAATCACTGCTGCTGCCTTCAACACGCTATTAAGACATGAAGCCAAGTTTTCAGCTGATTGCTTTGTCAGTGGTATGTCTGCTGCGTCTTGTTTCTGGGCAAGAGACCATAGTCGTGACGTCATTGAACTGATAGCAGCTAAGGAGAAATTCTGTGGAGTGCAAATGAATTTAAATGAAGCTAAAAATGCCTGCTTTCAGATTTCTTTCCTATGACCGTCCTAGAGATAATTTGTGGCGAATTAGTTAAAGTATGTACAAAACTATAGGTTGGTTCATTTGATAACGCAATAGTTGCTTGTTTTTATGCTTGTTCATTTCCGTTTTCTTCGTCTTTGCTGTTGTTGTTATTGCTGTTTTTCTTGAGCTTTTCTGGTCAAATAGTTTCACGGTATGAAAACTTGACGTAACCACCAACGCTATTCCAGCCCCAAACAATATTACGTAATTAACTTACCAAAAACTGATGGGGCACTTTCTCCACAACCTGAAGAGCAGAGCCGACAACTGATGATTTTTGAAGCAGGTCGAAGACAGTTTTCGTTTCCAAGGGCGAAATTTTATCAAGGATGTCGTTCATCACCTTAAACAACCATAAAGATTTTAGCTTAAAGTTATTGAAACCAGTAAAGAAATAGGCAACCAGACTTTATCCCCCATGTGAGGCTCGTTCCAAAGATATTGATCTAAAGACATATTTAGACTTAACGTATCAGGTTTCCCTATGACATTGCCAGTTAAAACCCATCAAATGATTTGCAAGGGCATGATTGATCTAAATGCATCAAATCACCGAAAACGTCCAAGCAGAAAAAAAAAGGAATATTTGGTGATTTCTGCCCATGAAATGTATTTTTAAACCTCAATTTCAAGACGTTGTAAGTATTCCTTTGAAATTTATTCAAAGCATTCTCCTCAGCATTCTTCATTCGTCAGAACGGAAGGTGAATCGCGATAATAATGGAAAGTCAACGCTTAAAATGCACGAAACAATTCTCGTGCTGCAAAAACATCAGATATTTAACGCATAAGCCTCCATTTTTCTC